TCCCTTTTTTTTATTCTTTTTATTTTTCCCCATTTTTCTTCTTCTTCTTCTTCCCCCCCTTCCACCTTCCCCCCTTTCCCCCCCTCCCTCCCTCCTTCCCCCTCCCCTCCTTCTTTCCCCCCTCCCTCCTTCCTCCCTCCTCCCTCCCACCTCCTCCCTCCTTTTCCTCCCTCCTTTTTTCCTCCTCCCCCCTTCCCTTTCCCCCTCCCTCCTTCCTCCTCCCTCCTTCCTCCTCCTCCCCCCATTCCCTTTCCCCTTTCCCCTTCCCCTTTCCCCCCCTTTTTTCTTCCTCCTCCTCTTCTTCCTCCCCCTCTTTTCCCCCTCCTCCTTTCCTCCCTCCTCCTCCACCTCCCCCATTGTTTTGGGTTTAAAAATCCCGAAAAACATGAAAATTTATCTTCATTGGAAAACTTTCCCCTGTGTTAGAGTATCACGGGGAAGGGGAAAGGGCCCAGAATTTTCCCGGGAAGTAAAATATTTCTTACCGCTAGAAACCCTGCGAAAAAAAGGGCGAAATTTAAATGGTAAATTTTTCCCCAATGCACCACTGGCTCCCCCCATTTTTTTTTATATGGTGCAAAACTTTACCCTGGGACCCTTCTCTCACATTTTGGGGCCCACCCCAAATTCCCCTTTTTGTTTGAACCCCTAGAATTTAAGCTATAGATAAAGTTTAAACAAAAGTATCTCCCCATGACGTTTAAAATAAAGCCGCGCAGTCCCAAAAGGGGTTTAAAAAGTGGTTTAAGGGAAAGTAAAAAGAGAGCAAATGAGAGAGTGGGTGAGAAAGTTTCAACAAATTTTTTTTTAAATAAGAAAAAGTTTTGGAGTGGATTAACCCAAATTTGGGAAAGCCTAGAGAAAAAAATGGATTTGTCAGTTAAAAATTTGGAGGGGGAGTTAAAAAAATGGAGAGTTATAGGTATTGGGGAAATGGAGGGGAAAATTTTGAGGGGAAATTTTTTAAATGTTGGAAAGAAGAAGGGAACTGTGATTTCGTGGTTTTGAACAAGGAGGAATAACCCTCTTGAAGGAGGGAAGAGGCCCGTTGTGAGTGTGGGGGAAAATTCGTGAGGCAGTGGTAAAAATGAAAGGGGTAAAGGGAGCCGGGTTTTAGGGGAAAAAAATAGAAAAAGTTAAAAGCAGGTGGGGATTCAGTTTTTTGGGGTGGTTTTTGGGGCAATTATTTAAAAAATTTTATGGAAAGGGTAAGGGACCCCAGGGTTTTGGGAGAGACATGATATTTTCCCATGTATAAAGGGAAAGGGGATAAAAGAGAGGCAAAAATTTTAGGGGGATAAGGTTTTGCTGAGTATACCTTTTTTTAAAATTTTTATTGGGGAAATTATTATTTAAAAAATTAAAAATTTTAAAAAGGAGAAAGGAAAGCAGATGAAAAAAGGAAGGGGTTTAGGAAAAATTTTGGGGGTTTGTGGAACCCGGTTTTTTTCATGAAACATAAAAAGTGGGCATTTTTTAGATAAGGGGTAAAGAGGCTTTGTGACATTTATGGATTTGGAAAAGGCATATGACAGGGTTTAAAAGGGGGGCAATGGGCAGATTTTGCAAATGTAAGGTGTAGGGGTAGTTTACGAAAGGGAGGAAAAGTTTTTTCGAGGGTATTTGGTTTTCCCAAATTAGAGTATGAAGGAAAAAAAGGGGAAAAATTTTTTCCCCGTAAAAGTTGGCCTTAGACAAAAGGGTGTTGATTTTCACCGTGGTTGTTTTAATTTTTATTTATAGATGGGTTGTAAGAGGGAAATAAATTTTAGGGGGCTTGGCAAAAATGGCGTGGAGTTAAAAAATAAAGAATCCCCAAAAAAAAGTGGGGGTTGCCACCCCTGCTCTTTGCTGATGGGCACTGTGCTCTGGGAGGGTTCTTAAGAGAAGTTGCAGAGATTTGGGGGATGAATTTGGTAGGGGGTGCAAAAGAAGAAAAATTTAAAAAGAATACAGGAAAAAATAAAGGGTTTTGAGGATAACAAAAAGATTAGGGGAAAGGGAAAAATTGAAAAATCGATTCGGGGGAGAGAGTATGGAGGAGGTGAATTATTCAATATTTTTGGGGGTGGCGTGTCGGGATGGGTCTAGGGAAAAATGAGGGGAAAACATAGAAATTTATGAGGGGAAAAAAATTGGGGGGGCCTTAGGAGTCTGTGGAGACCCAAAAAACTTTTCCTTGGAGGCAAAGAGGGGAATGTATGAGAAATATAGTTTTACCAACACTCTTTAATGGGTGGAAACAGGGAGAATGTTGAAGGGGAGGAGAAGGCTTTGGAAAGGGAGTGGGGTGTTCCCTGTCTTTAAGGGGAAGTGGGGGTATGAATTTTAAAAAACAGAGAATTCGTTAGTTTGGGAAATTAGGAGGAGGTGCGGGGTTACCAAAAAAAGTTGTCCAGAGGGGGTGAGGGAAGGGGTTTTTAGGGGGTTCGGGCGTAGAGAAATGGAGCGAAAAAAGGGAAAGACTTCAAGGTTTTATCAGTCTTTTAGTGGAAAAAAAAAAATGGTTTTTTAAAACTTGAACTGCTTTTTGGGGGTTTTGACCAAAGAAAAATATATGAAGGGGGGTTTAAAGGGAAAAAACCGGGAGGCCGGACCCTTTGGGCCTGGAGATGGGAAAATACAGTTTCCGCAATTGAAAGGAAAAGGGGGGTTAATTTTTGCAGTTTAAAAAATGTTTGTGTAAAAACACCCCCTTCCGGCAAGACCGGATGGGAAATGAATTTATGGTTTAAAGGGTTTTTTTTTTTTGGGCCACCCGCCTTGGTGGGAATCAGCCAATTTTGATAAAAAAAAAAAAAAAAAAAAAATTATACCCCAATGCAAACCCCTCACCTTTTTTTTTCCCCCACAATTCTATGATTAAAATCATCCCTTTTTAAATCCAACCGCCGACACGGGCAACTCCCAGGAAACTGAAAAAAATTTACTTCCTTTTCCCTACTCCTTTTCCCCCAAATTTTATTTCCAATTTTTCTTTTTCTAAAAACATTTGATTTCCCTCATCAAACCTTAAATCTTTTTATTTCACTTTCAAAATTTCTACCTTTAAACACATTCTCAAAAACCCTCCCTAACCCTTTTCAAAATTTTTTTTTTTAGAATCTCCCCAAAACAAGAATCATCAACAAAAAGTAACTGTGTCAAATTTCCCCTTTTTAATTTGATTCCCCCTAATTTAATCCCCCCCCCTTTTCCCCCAACACCCAAACAAATTTTCCCTTTTTTTACAACCCCAAACTATAAATATAATTTAAAAAACCCTGGTGACATTACACATCCCTGTCCTTTTAAAACCTTCCCTTTTAAAGGGGAAATAATCTCCCCTTTTTTTCCAAAACATCCTAACCTGAGCCTCCTATCCTCTTTAAAAACTCTTTACAGGGATTTAGTAAATTACCAAACCTTTCCCAAAACTTGAAAAATCTGCCCCATTGCTCCTCTATCCACTCTATCATATGCCTTTTTTTAAATCCAAAAAATGCAATAAAACTTCCCTACCTTTAAAATTTAAAAAACTGTTACCAAAATATGCTTAAATGTAAAGACTTGATCTACACATCCCCTACCCCCTCGAAGTCACCCTGCCACCGCAATCCCACATTCTGTCTTAAAATCTAATTTTTTTCAATTATAACCCTAACCCTATACTTTTTCCTGGTAAAACTCAGTAAAAATTATTTTCCCCTTAATTTTTTCAATCTCTTTTGTCCCCTTTCCCTTTATATAAAGGACTAAACATGCCCCTCTTTCCCCAAACCCTAGGGACCTTTCCCCCCCCTTTTCCCCAAATTTTTTTTAACAAAAGTACCCAAACCCCTCCAACACTAAAAATCCCAAACCCCCGCTTTTAACTTTTTATGATTCCCCTCAGTTCCCCCCTGCTTTTCCCCCTTTTTATTCTACGTAATTTCCTCACGTAAACCCCCACCACACTTACATTTGCTCTTTTTTCACCCCAAAAGATGTTAAACCCCCCTTTCCCCTGGGTTTAAAATTTCCCCTCCCCTTTCTTCCTTAACATTTAAAAAGTTCCTCAAAAAATTCTCGCCATTCCCAATACCTCCAACCCCCCATCTACAAAATCCCCCCCTCTGTTTTTAAAAAGACAAAATCCATTCTTTCCCTAGGCTTTTTTAACTTTTTTTAAATCACTCCAAAATTTTTTTCCCTTTTTTTCAAATTTAAAAATTTTTTACAGTGCCTCTCCCACTCCCATCATCTGCTCTCCTTTTTCCTCTTCACCCCCTCTCTTCACCCTTTTTTTTACTCTCCTTTTACTCTGCTCTTCTTAAAAACACTTCTGCTTTGTAAAAAAACCCCTCATAAACCCTTTTTTTTCTTTTTTTCACACCCTTTATTCTCATTCCCACCCAAACACTCCTGTTTCCCCCCTGCCCCCACCCTCCTATAAACCCCAAAATTCGCCCCCCCATTCTAATGGAAAAAAAATGATAAAAAAACATAAGGGTTTTATCCATTCAGTGGGGTGGAAAGGGCCCAAAAATGGGGAAGGAACTTGGAGGGAAATAAGAAAAGGAAAAAAGGGCTTAGAACAAGGGCTTTGAAAAAGAGGTTGTCATCAAATCCTAAAGGATCAGTTTTTTAAATTCCCATTTATGGTAAAATCAATAAAAAAAGAGACCAAAGGTTTTCCCGGGGGAAAAACCTTTAGTTGATATAGAACTGTCAAGATGAAAGACAAAGTACTAGTTTTCCCAAAAAGTTAAAATTAAAGAACACTGAGCTACATCTCCTCGTCTCCCTGGAGGACTGAAACCCCTGCTTGTGGTAAACACTAAGGCTCACTGGGGGAGGGCTGAAACCCCCGATTTTGAAATTTTTAAAAATAAGGCTTTACTGGAGGAGGACTGAAAAACCCCCCGATTGTGTAAAAAACTAAGGCTCACTGGAGGAGGACTGAAACCCCTGATTGTGATAAACACTAAAGTTTCTCACAATGATGTATGAAGACCCAAAAATATATATAAACAAAAGTAAATGGATTATATTTTATTCAAGATGAAAAGTCAAAACTGTGGACAATAAATAGATTGTAAAATTATTGGCTCATTAAATAATCTTGAACATTTATTCACAAAAAGAATATTGATAAATAAATTTAATAAAGTTTGAGATGTCCAGTCACCGTATCAATCAATTCCACAGGCCCTGGCCCCACTCCAAGAACTGTGCGTGACCCAGCTGCAATCTGTGTACGGCCGGCATCCTGGATTATACTCACAATCAACCCAGCATCTCTGGCCAGTGCAGCCAAGTCAAGCATGGAGGCTTCATCATCTATTTTTAATACCACCTGAAGAAAACAAAATAAAACACATTTTAAAAATTATGTCTTAAAGATTTTCCTGCAAATCATACCATGGGCGGGTGATAGAACCCGCGATCAGAGAGTCTCAAAACTCCAGACCGTTGCGTTAGCCACTGGACCAGCTGGAGTTTTGAGACTCTCTGATCGCGGGTTCTATCCCCGCCCGTGGCATGGTTTGTTTGCAATCGTGTCATTACGATTTCGTGAGTCATTTTCCTGCATTTTGCATCCTCCATTCATTTTGAGTTCCTAGTTTACTCCATATCTAGGTATAGATAGAACTTATGACTACAAAACATTATGTTTTCTTTTACGTAATAATGTCTCTTACCAAGGAAAAATTCATGTTTATTTTGGTACCATCTGCATTATATGAAATGTTAAGAATTTTTCAATGACTATAATGATATCTGTATTTTGATTTTCTTATAATGCTTCTGATTTTGTTGTAGTGGTCAACAGTTGTGAAAGGTAAGATCTTGTTGCCCAGAATCTAAGTTAACCTCCATTGTGGAAGTCATGTCTTTCTATATACTTTTTTTTTTTTCAACAAACAGGCTGTATCCCACTGAGGCTGGGAGGATATCCTAAACAACAGAAATCCGAACCTTTGCCTACAAAGAATTAATTCTGTGGCACTTGAGGTATGCTCAAGGCACATTCCTTTAATTAAGAAAAAGGAAGAGAAGATGTAAACTAGAAAGAGATGCTCCCTATACAGGTGAAGGCAAAGAATCACAGAACTGCTGAAAAGGGCCAGCACATCTGAATATGAAGGGAGGCACAGGTCACAGAAATAGCAAATACTGAATTTAAACTCAAGGAATCATACAAGAAACAAGAAACTCAGGAAGAGCTTAATGCCATTAATGAAATTGAAAAAAAACAAAACATTTCTTTTCTTATGCCAAATCTAAGGCAAAAACAACATCCAATTTTAGACCCCTACTTAGACGTGATAGGACTGACAAAGATGACAGCAAAGAAATGAGTGAGATACTTAATATGACTCAGTATTTAGTGAGCCGTTACCCGGACTAAGAAACTGAGACCCCAAATTTGGTCAATCCAAAAAACTCAGTATTATTCTAACACAAGACTTTGAAAAAGCAATAAATGAATGCCCATGCACTCAGCCCCAAGTCCAGACTTGTGGAACTCCATGTTCATCAAGAAGCCCTTTTCACATGCCATCAGCATTCTATGGAGAGGGAGCATGGACAGTGGGGTCATCCCACAGTCATTAAAAACAACAGACACAGCCCTCCTCCACAAAAGTGGCAGTAAAGCAACTGCAAAGAATTACAGACCAATAGCACTAACGTCCCATATCATAAAAATCTTTGAAAGGATTCTAAGAAGCAAGATCGCCACCCACCTAGATACCTATCAGTTACACAACCCAGGGTAACATGGGTTCAGAGCAGGCCACTCTTGCCTGTCCCAACTACTGGACCATTATGACAAAGTCTTAGATGCACCGGAGGACAAACAAAATGCAGATGTAATATACACAGACTTTGCGAAAGTCCTCAACAAGTGCGACCATGGTGCAATACAGCAAAAAGTGCATGATAAAGAAAATCCACGGATCCGGTATCCACAGTTTCAGTTATCCATGGTTAACTGTGGCCCAAAAATAATCCTTAATTTTGCTTAATAATGGCCTCAAAGTGCAAAAGTAGTGATGGTGGAAGTTCTTCAAAGCCTAAGAGAAGCCAAGAAGTGCTTCCCATCAGTGAAAAAAGTGATAATTCTCCATTTATTTATCAATTAAATTTCATAATAGGTATGGACTTACATATAGGGTTCGCTACTATCCGCGAGTTCGGTATCTACAGCAGGCCCTTGGAATGCATCCCCTGCAGATACAGGGGTCCTACTGCACTCTGATAATTATACTTTTGTGTACCTGTACCTAAATAAGACACACTGTGCTGGCATGCAGGTACACATTAAAATCATTAACCCCTTCAGGGTCCAAGGCCAAAATCTGAAGTGGTGCTCCAGCGTCCAAGAAATTTTGAAAAAAAAAAAAAAATTTTTTTTCTTACAGAATTAAAGAGCATATTTTTGTGAAGGTAATAAGACAAAAAAAAAATTCTGATCAGTACTTACTGAGATACAGTGCCAAGAAGTCTGTCAAAAATGATGTGGTGGCGGCAACATCGACGAATTCCACATACGCGCATTACATTATTTTGCAGTTTTTGTTGTTTTTTCTTTTCTTTTCCAATTTTTTTTTATCCTACTAACATTTGGGCCTGAGAGACCAATACTGTATATAATGTATATATTTTAAACTCACTGTATGAACACAATAACCGCACTAAAATTATTATCATATTATTGTTTACCACTGTTGTTTATTACAAAAACATGTACAAATCTTGTATAATACTAATGGGTTTTATAAAAATTTTACTATTTAAACACTGACATTGGGGTTTTGAAACTGCTTTTGGTCCTTT